TGAGGAAAACGAAACGCTCTCAATGACTGAAACCATCTCTCAACGGTACATCTCACACATGTACATACGAGATAACAAACGTAACGTGCTCTGCAATTGGGTAGTGTTCCTAACCAGGTAAGAGCGCATAAGGATCATATCTTAACACCATGCAACTGAATTGCCACCTAAATAAGCTATAAATAATGAGTTATTTAACATTAAGGAGTAGTTACATTTATTTTACATTAAAATAGTTATTAATTAATTATTAAATAATTATTATTTTATATCTTTTACATTCTTTTCAAGGTTTAAAGGGGGGCTCGACTAAAAAAGTTTGAGAACCACTGTGATATTACTAATGTGGGGGCAATCTTACTAGCTATTATTAGTAATTTGGGGACAATGTTACTGGCTATTACGGTATTACTAATGTGGGGGCAATATTGCACTGGAACAGTGATGGTGATAATGAATGGTGGACTTTAGAATGATGAGTGGGGGCAAAGAAAAACATTACAGCCTTTTTTTATATTACTTTTACTGTTTACTGTCTGTTCATGTTACATGTTTGGCTGTTAACTTTTACACAGTTGATATAAAATATTTTACAAAAGTATTTGGTTCAGAATCTTTTTTTTCTAGATCTTCCTCTTTTAAAATTGGGTGCGTCTTATGTGCCGGTGCGTCTTATGAGCCGAAAAATACGGGTAGGTACTTTCAGGAACAGGTTTACCGGGAAAGAGTCTGGCAAATATGTAGTCCAGACTAGAAACTGAAGTGAGGTCAGGTAGGGAAGTGGTGATTTAGGAGGTTGGTAATTGGCTGGGTGAGTGAATAGTGGAAGTTGCACTTGGTCTTTCGTGTGATTGCTTTTGTGATTCTGACTGAATCCCCGTAAGCATTATGGTATTGCCAATTATAATCAGCAATTTCAATAAAAACCCATAACAACCATATACATATTGAAAATATGGTATTTTAAAATGTTTATGTTCAATTTAATCTTTTGATTAACCATTGTTACTGTCCCCTATGTTGCTATGGTGAAATGCATCATGGGTCAGCTGGGTTGGCAGTGCAGATACATAATATTTTAGCTCCCTAAGTGTACTAATTGAGTGAAAAGCATGTGCAACTGTGGTTTCCTGAATGAGGGAGGGACACAGTAGATAGACCATAATTTTCTCAAAGCTTTCTGAAGAGGTCCACCAAATTATATAACCTCTACGTCCAAAAGAAGCATGTGGTAAGGACAGTGGTAAACCATGTGGAAAGAATATATAACAGTCTTTGGAAGTAGACTTGGACATGAATGGTGTTTTCTTCTCACCAGTGATGTGATGCCAGGGGTCTGTGCAAGCAATTTGTGACCCTGCTGTTTAGGCTGGTGAAACTGTGCGGAGGTCTTCACAAACACACGTCTGACGAAAGTGCGAGCCAAAACAACCAGCCTGCTGAATATATGTTGAGGTGTAGAGTCTTCAGAATTAGGGTCCTGCTCTACCAAACACCCATCAGCCCCTGAAACACAAATAGCTCCTATGGTTTATTTGAGGTTCACAGGTTTCCAATGGCCGCAAATAACGAGTAGCAGAGACATCACTTAAATCATTGAAAGTGCCCCTATTCTGGATTAAATCTCTTAGAAATATCCAGTTTGGGTTATAAATGTGAAAGTGCTTTGTGTATCAAGACATTGTCTCGACTCAGAGTTGCTCAAATGAATCTTTAGTTGTGCCGTACAAACATATCACACCTTTCCCACTCCCCATGCACTTAAACAGGGGAAACCAAACTCTACCTCAAACACTGGTGGTGCTAGTAGTACAAGTAGTGGTAAGTTAAAGTGCGGCCATATGGCGACAAGTCTTCCATGAAGACTACTTCTGATATGACTTCAAATCATGATTAAATGCAACTTTTAGCCACCACCCATGCACTTAAACGCAGGAAACAGATCTGCGTATCTACATGCCTACAATGTTGGATTTGCTAAATTACTTTTATTAAAGGATGGATCAGTCTCAAGCTTATTTTTGCTTTTGTGAAAAGAACTTGAGTTCTTCTGTGGCTCAGTCAGTAGAGCATTGTACTTGCATTCCAAAGATCATAGGTTCGTACCCCAGGGAAAGCAAAAACTGTGTTCATCCCTTTAAAATGTAAGTTGCTTTTGGATAAAATTGAAAAAAAAAATGTTTAACTGCAAATTCTGAATTTCCATACCATTATAAAGACACAATACTGTCAGTTTGAGTTATTATAAATCATAACCCATCATTTTTGTAAACAAGGCATTACAATTAAAAGGTTATATGTGTAGCAGCTTCAGTTTTTCATCATGAATTGAGCTATTTACAGCTTAAAATAAGGGTAAAAGACATTAAGAAAAATAAAAAAATGAAATGTTTTGAAGATTTAGTGAGTCAGTATTTGATTTATTTTTTTTATTTTACACTTTCTCTAATAAATCTCTTTTTTTTAAAGGTTGGTGGTAGTTTTCACAAGACTGAATATCTTAAAAGTGTTTATAAAGTTTGTTGACTTAAAATATTTTGTCATAAAACAAAAACTGAGTCATTTTGAGTCTTTTTAATAAATAGGTTTAAATAAAAGCACAACAAGAAAGAGTCCTTTATTCACTCCCCCCTTCACTCCGCCACACCGTCTTGTCCTGACACAACTGATATAAACTGATTCGCGGGAACCACAACTTATAAATATTAAAATACATTCAAAACTGTCCAACTCTCCCATGTGATGACTTTTGAGCAGGACAGAAAAATATAAAAAAAAAAAGAAAAAAAAGAGTATATTTATCATATTAATCACCATGAACATATGGTTTACTTCAGTGAGTCACTTCTCACTCTATCTTTGGGACAGATTTAGAAATGAGCTAAGTGTGTAAAGGTTAAGTTCCTCAGGAAGCATTTCCTCTTGCTGTATAAACAGACAGACACCCATCACGATCATTGCCATAATGACACACATGTCTACAGAGCTCAGGGCTACAGAAGCATTCAGGCCTTTTGCTCATTGCGAGATGTTAAATTTAGTCCAATTCAATTTCCAAGGCCAGACAAAACACACTAAACAGATTCCATCTAGTGAATGTACCATTAAACGTGGCCACAGAAAGACTCAAGCACAATGGGAAAAGGTCTCATTCTATTGGGAAGGAAAACAGGCACATACTGCTCGTTTAAGGACACGTGAGGAAAGATTTAGCTCATTCAACACACTTTCAGGGATAAACAAAGGATAAAGCAAATTAGCCGGATACAGAGCTTTTGGCTTTGTCTCTAAAGTGAATTTTCACATGCCCCAAAATACAGTGAATGTGTATAAACAGGTCAAGAGTACATGTAACAGATTGATGACTGACCGGCCAACATTTCCTTTGAGGTTATGCGCTCTTAGAACTGGGATATTACATATATATTTTATAAAAATATTTAATACAAGTTCATTTTAGTTTATGCGGTCACTTTGTTTGTATATGAAAAACATAACCAAATTAATCAAAGTCAAAAATCTTTTCGAGACCCTAAGTTGAATGTCTGAATTTACAAAAAAAAAATTAAATAAATAAACATTGATTTTTAGGCTGTATTTTATTGCATTTTTAAATGATGATGTGCTTGTCTGTAGTGTTATTTAATGTACGGTGTCCTTGAAAGCCCTGAAAGGCGCCCTAAATAAAATGTAATATTATTCTTATTATTATTACAGTCTCTTAAAAATGTTTTGCATTAAGATATGAGTGCATTTGGGACCATGAATGTGAATATGTGCTTATAACTGACTTAATGGACAGTTGAAGATGGAAAAAAAGAGAGAGAAGAGACAGCAGAGGCTTACCAGACTGGAAACATTTTCTGCAATCAATACTTGAGATACAGCAGTGCTGTCCACAACAACTATCAAACACATCACTGTGTTTCATAAAAGAGTTTTTCTTTTCTTTATTTTAAATTCAACAGTACTGAATAAAAGCTACAATTTGCCATTTATTTGAAAAATCCCAAACAGGTATTATAAAATCACATGGAAATTCTTCATATCTGTATAGGCTTTATTATTGTGATGATTTTTTGGGTACTGTTCACTTTCGTCACCTAATGATTTATTTATTTTTGCTTCATTTATTTTCTTCTGCATTTGATTTTTGGTTGCATGCATCATTCAATAAACAATGTTTCAGTGACACCTGGTGTCCAGCTTTAAAAGTGCATACAATCATGTTACCACACGCTTTATTGCCTTTCTTTGCAGTCTGTGGTGAATTCTATGGTGGCCCATTAGTGCAACACAACACAAACAACACAAATCAACATTGCAAATCAGAAATGCTGATTACAAATCAAAAACTGCAATAGGAGTTGTGTTTTTTTTTTTTTTTTTACAGTAGTTGTTGATTTGTGTTCTGTTGTGCACTAATAGAATTCAGATCTTCCTATAACTTACATGGTCACAGACTGCATTTGTAAAAGAATACACTGCTCTCGGAAACTCAGTGAATTTTCACCATGGCACGTAAATATTCCACAGGTAATATCTGAAAATGACAGCACTCAGCCATATTAGCGTAGTCAGGGAATGGGCAGAGCTTTCCACAGAGCCATCTGCTTTATACGTCCCAACTTCATGTGGCTTTCAGATTAGCAGAAGAACAGAGTATTAAGAGTTTCCATGGGTTGGGCAGCAGCATTCTACTGGAATAGATAGCTCCATCTGGTTAACTGATGGACAAGTCTGTGTTTGGCAGTTAACAGAAGAAAAGTACCTGTCTGACTGCATGGTATAGGCTTGTTTTTTAGCAGCTTGACTTGGTCCCTTACAGTTGAAGAACCTCAGAATGTTTCAAAATACAGCTCCAACAGACTTTGGATCATTTGGGGTCGATGAATATGACCAAAACGAATCCTGATCTCACCCCAACTGAACACCTTTGAGATGAATTAGAATTAAATCCGTGATTGAGGCCTTCTCATCTAGCCTCATTGTTTTAAAGTCAAAGTCAAAGGCTACTTTATTGTCAATTCTGCCATATATACAGTGCATACATACAGAGAATTGAAATTGAATTACTCTCAAACCCTAGATGTGAACAAGTAACGTTTTACATTAACAATAACAGGACATTTGATAAATAGACAAAAAAAAAATAAACAATAAATTCCTATGTGTATATACAAAAATACAGATATTACAGATGTCAAGTGACTCCTTATATGAATAGACAAAAATAAACAATATTCCTATGTACCGTATATATACAAAATACAGATATTGCAGATGTCCAGTATGACATATGATACATATGATGTATTAGATAAAGTGACTTATGAGGATAAGTGGCAGTGCAGATAGTGCAAACCAGAGAAATAAGCTCTCAATTTAGCTCTCAAATGAAGAAAACATTTAAATGATTACAAAGACCCTATAGTATATTTTCATTTAACAAGGCATATTATCTACACTTCACTAGTTCACCTAATCATTAATTGATGCAAGGTGCCCATAAACGGGCCCTGGAGCGACGAAGTAATCTGAGCCAAGAGACCCCAGAGGCCTGAGACCCCTGTGTGGTAAAGTGCGGGAGGTGGGGCAACAGACAAAAGCTTAACGGAACTATAAATAGCCGGCGGGAGGCAGTTAGAGGTTGGGTCTAGTTGACACCTTGGTTCCTCCCAAATTTCGTTTTGCCAAATCTGAGTGACTTTGAATAGCTTAAAGATATGAATAAGTGTTAAAATGTTTACCTGTTTCAACAGGAGATGCAGGAAACATGTAGTCGAGAAGGGTTTCAGTCATATTCAGAGCACTGTTGGCTCTCTGCTCCACCAGACTCACAAGCTTGCTATTGAGGATGTACTGGATGCCACCATTAAAGACATTCTTACTTTGTTGCCACTTGACAGACACCTTGTCCAACACTGCATTAGACGTTTGTTTTGCAGGAGATGCAATGCTATCTTTGGCAGATAGCAAAGTTGAAGACATCAGTTCCTTGATGTATGAAGCAAGCTGGTGAAGACAAACTATTCATAAAGCAGTTTATAAATGGAGGATAATTCAAGAACATTACCTCCTCAGGTGGGGACTGCAAGGCCGGTACTTTCTCCTCCAATTGGTCCAGTCCTCTACAGGCTAGAGAATTTGCTGCCACAACTTTAGAAGACACAATTCACAAATGCATAACAAGCTTTTGTTTTACTTAATGCATTGTTAAATTATGTTTTCCATGGGTGATGCAAATATTTGGTGATTCGTGAGTTATAATCAGTCTAAACGTTTTATTACCTAACACTAAGCCTAACTAAATCTTTCAAAATCCGCAAGGCTGACCTTTAATTAATTAAAGCAATGCTGAACGGATTTGGAATTGATGCTAACCAATGCTACTGGTCAAATCTGAGTACTGCTGGGGGAAAAATCTGGGGCATTCTCTGTAGATCAAGTAGTAAAATATTACTCTCCCTCAGGAGTTTAATACAAAAGTCTTTTAAACTTCAATTTATTGATTGCACACATGAGGAAGGTGTTTAAGGGAAGCAGATCACAATGACTGCCCATGGTAATGAGACTGTCTTTCCAGCAAGCACCCTTCAGTTTAGATGTATAGTTTGGGAAGAAGTTTAACTAATTAGTTTTTTGCGATTTAGAACATTTTTCTTTTGTTATTAAGCTGAGTATTTAAGGTGCTTTTGTTCATTTGGTTTTTCAGTTTTGTTTGTTCCTGCATCAGGTGGTGCAAAAATAAAATCTCCAAAAACTGCATTGTACTTGTTCCTGGACTCTCTTTTCTCCTCCCTTGGCTCTCAGAAACCACATTACGACAGAGTCACAACACAAAGAAGAGATGGTGCAGTTGGACTTTAACACATTAAAATCCCGTTTTACTCCTGCCACACTTCCTGTTCAATTGGATTTTGCCCTGGATTTTGAGTACACTGGCCATACCAAACCCCATCACTATGTGTAGGATTCCATTTTCTGTTCAGATTTTTATACACGCTTATCTTACTATTTCCCACTAAAGAAAGATTTATTTTTGTATTTAACAATTGAATCGAATGGAACAATTATGTTGGATAATTCAAAAACATTTTGATTAAAATTAAATAA